TGCCTGTTCTAATATTTACGAATACAGTTACCAATTGTCAATATTCTCACTCATTCAGCAAATTTGTAATGTTTTCATTTCCTTATGTTGCCATCTATCTCTAAATTTACAACTGAAAAATATTGTTGAGAAGGCTTAGCTTTACATATTCATTATCATAATTTACCACTCTGCATCGTATATTTTTTTCATTCAACTAAGATGAAGTAAAGATTTTGAGGACCACCTAGCCTGGGTTACCTAACTAAGTGTATTATGCACCATTCTATACCTTTGGTCTATATTGAGGGTATATTTTCCATTTCTGGCCTATGTCTGGAGGAGAGCACAGACACATCCCTACCTCATTCTATATATGAAGATTATCAGTTCTTAATCCATTGTGTTCTGCCCATCTCGTTAGGGCCCAGAGAGTTGCATGCTTAATTTCAACTGCCTTTACTTGTTCCCTGACGTTTCTCCTGTACAATAAAACTTCAAGTTTTGTTCACTTGTTATCTGCCTTAATTATTGTTCTAACACAATATGTAGAAGTTTTATTTAAGTGGGGATAATTTCACTATTTTTGACTTATCATACTGATTTTTCACTATTACCACACATTCAAATAATGTTTAGCAATACGTGGAGCTTTTAGATTTAATTTGCATACATTTCGCCTATGGTTGAAACCTATTTAACATTGACTTTGAAGCTAACATATTATTCTTTAAAAAAAACAAAAAACAATGTAAGCATGTAAGCTCATTGAGCAGGGCCCTCAACCCCTTTGTTCTTGTGCATCCAACTCATCTGATTACAAATATATGTTTGTTGGTCCACCCATTGTACAGCGCTGCGGAATTTGTTGGCACTTTATAAATACTAATAATAAAGCAAATACAAGTCAGACGTGAGTAAGCTTAGATCTAACCCTTTAGGGGACCAGTCATTACAAACCATCACCTATCAGTCTCTATTCAGTCACTGTTACCAATTTCTGCAGTCGCAACAAGGTCTGTTGTTTGGCCTGGACACTTGTCACATACTGCACAGCTGCCCTGAAATGACCATTCAGTAAACACGTTGCTTGGCAGGTCACTACATTCCGTGTCTGGAAAGCTGTGCATTCTCTGTCAAAACAATGTCAGTCCTGGTTCTGATTCTCCTAGCCATCTGGGTGGTCTTGTGGATTTATTTTTTTCCGGTTTTGTTTTTCTGGTTAATTAACCATAAACACTGCTGTTCCTTTAGATAAGTGTAACTACCATTGCCAGTTCATCCCCATTGCCATTCATGGCCTCTTTCTATTTACTGTTTTAGAATACTACGAAAACGGAGGATTGATGGAAACAAAAACAAGACCATAAGAGGATCCATCTGACTGTGCAACTTCCTTTTTAACCCCCTTCTGGACGATGGGCAGGCAAATCGCTACAGGCCTCACACATTATTGCTTTCAGACCATATCCAATGTTTTATCCCTGATCTACCTCTCAGGTTTTGCATTCTTTACGATTTAAATGAAATAGTCTTACCATCTATCCCTATTCTTTGTATCTGCCCCCCATTCATTGTATGTAAATAGGAGCACAATAGATAACATTTGCTGAATGAAAGGGGTTATTATTATTTTTAGATACAAGGCCAGAAAGTACTAGTTCTTTATAGCCCAATGAACAACCGATTTATTAAATATGAATTCACACTAGAAGATCTCGCTTCCTCTCTTTTATACTGTTAGGTCATGCAGATTTATGAAAAAGCTCAGATCTACTTCCTTATAAATTTCTATGGTTAACAAATATTATCCTTATGCCAAGTTGCCAACTCATCTGTCCACTGAGCCATTGACACTCAAAAAGCTATTTCCAAATCAAATACAACTTTACAACTATCCCAATGACCCCTGGAACTACAGGTAGCCTAGAAGAAGTCTAGTTCTGTTGAATTTCTCTATCCAGGGCCGGTGCTAGACTATTTTGCGCCCTAGGCAAGACCAGCTACTTGCACTCCCCACCCTTCTTGCAGTAAAAAGAAAATGCCCAACTTTGATTTTTAAAAACAGATTTGTAGAAAAATAAAATAAAAGCATAAATACTTAACTAGTAAAACTACTAAATTTCATGACTTCAGATCACTTCCTCCCAGTGCAGCTGCTGGAGATGGGGGAGGGTGACTTATTACATTGTTGTTGTTTTTTTTTTATAATGGCACAATAAAAAAAAATAAAAAAAAATTATTTCCATGACATCTACATTTTGGGATACACAGTTACCATTATAAATCATAATAATTTCCAAGTAGCAGTACCTATTTATTTATTTATTTATTTACAACAAGGCATGACCTAATCATATGAGTAGACTCATGGCTCCTTCTCACCTTCCTGCTGGCATCTGCCTTTAGCTCCACGGGAAAGGACTGACTTAGTGGGAGACGACATCAAGCAGACTAAACAAGGTGAATATGACTGACAGCTGACAGGGGATCCTAAAGCAATACTATAGGGTCAGAAACACAAACATGTATTCCTGACCTTATAGTGTTACAACTACACATAGAATGTGACGGCCTATCTAGTCTGCCCAATTTTCTAAATACAGGGAGTGCAGAATTATTAGGCAAGTTGTATTTTTGAGGATTCATTTTATTATTGAACAACAACCATGTTCTCAATGAACCCAAAAAACTCATTAATATCAAAGCTGAATATTTTTGGAAGTAGTTTTTAGTTTGTTTTTAGTTATAGCTATGTTAGGGGGATATCTGTGTGTGCAGGTGACTATTACTGTGCATAATTATTAGGCAACTTAACAAAAACAAATATATACCCATTTCAATTATTTATTATTACCAGTGAAATCAATATAACATCTCAACATTCACAAATATACATTTCTGACATTCAAAAACAAACAAAAACAAATCAGTGACCAATATAGCCACCTTTCTTTGCAAGGACACTCAAAAGCCTGCCATCCATGGATTCTGTCAGTGTTTTGATCTGTTCACCATCAACATTGCGTGCAGCAGCAACCACAGCCTCCCAGACACTGTTCAGAGGGGTGTACTGTTTTCCCTCCTTGTAAATCTCACATTTGATGATGGACCACAGGTTCTCAATGGGGTTCAGATCAGGTGAACAAGGAGGCCATGTCATTAGATTTTCTTCTTTTATACCCTTTCTTGCCAGCCACGCTGTGGAGTACTTGGACGCGTGTGATGGAGCATTGTCCTGCATGAAAATCATGTTTTTCTTGAAGGATGCAGACTTCTTCCTGTACCACTGCTTGAAGAAGGTGTCTTCCAGGAACTGGCAGTAGGACTGGGAGTTGAGCTTGACTCCATCCTCAACCCGAAAAGGCCCCACAAGCTCATCTTTGATGATACCAGCCCAAACCAGTACTCCACCTCCACCTTGCTGGCGTCTGAGTCGGACTGGAGCTCTCTGCCCTTTACCAATCCAGCCACGGGCCCATCCATCTGGCCCATCAAGACTCACTCTCATTTCATCAGTCCATAAAACCTTAGAAAAATCAGTCTTGAGATATTTCTTGGCCCAGTCTTGACGTTTCAGCTTGTGTGTCTTGTTCAGTGGTGGTCGTCTTTCAGCCTTTCTTACCTTGGCCATGTCTCTGAGTATTGCACACCTTGTGCTTTTGGGCACTCCAGTGATGTTGCAGCTCTGAAATATGGCCAAACTGGTGGCAAGTGGCATCGTGGCAGCTGCACGCTTGACTTTTCTCAGTTCATGGGCAGTTATTTTGCGCCTTGGTTTTTCCACACGCTTCTTGCGACCCTGTTGACTATTATGAATGAAACGCTTGATTGTTCGATGATCACGCTTCAGAAGCTTTGCAATTTTAAGAGTGCTGCATCCCTCTGCAAGATATCTCACTATTTTTGACTTTTCTGAGCCTGTCAAGTCCTTCTTTTGACCCATTTTGCCAAAGGAAAGGAAGTTGCCTAATAATTATGCACACCTGATATAGGGTGTTGATGTCATTAGACCACACCCCTTCTCATTACAGAGATGCACATCACCTAATATGCTTAATTGGTAGTAGGCTTTCGAGCCTATACAGCTTGGAGTAAGACAACATGCATAAAGAGGATGATGTGGTCAAAATACTCATTTGCCTAATAATTCTGCACTCCCTGTACTTTCATTAGTCCCTGGCCTTATCTTATAGTTAGGATTAGAGATGTCGCGAACTGTCTGCCGAACTGTTCGCGAACTGTCCGCCGGCGAACAATAGCGTGTTCGCGTTGGGCGAACATATCCGATTTCCGGTCCGCCCCCTATACATCATCATTGAGTAAACTTTGACCCGGAACCTCACAGTCAGCAGACACTTCCTGGGAGGGAGGGTCTGCTGCTGATTGGGTGGAATGTGTCTGCTGGCTGTGATGTTCCGGGTCAAAGTTTACTCAATGATGATGTATAGGGGGCGGACCGGAAATCGGATATGTTTGCCCAACGCGAACACGCTATTGTTCGCCAGCGGACAGTTCGCAACATCTCTAGTTAGGATAGCCTTATGCCTATCCCATGCATGCTTAAACTCCTTTATTGTGTTAACCTCTACCACTTCAGCTGGAAGGCTATTCCATGCATCCACTACCCTCTCAGTAAAGTAATACTTCCTGATATTATTTTTAAACCTTTTTCCCTCTAATTTAAGATGATGTCCTCTTGCTGTGGTAGTTTTTATTATTTTAAATATAGTCTCCTCCTTTACCTCCTTTACTGTGTTGATTCCCTTTATGTATTTAAATGTTTCTATCATATCCCCCCTGTCTCGTCTTTCCTTCAAGCTATACATGTTAAGATCCTTTCCTGGTATGTTTTATACTGAAATCCATGAACCAGTTTAGTAGCCCTTCTCTGAACTCTCTCTGAAGTATCAATATCCTTCTGGAGATATGGTCTCCAGTACTGCGTACAATACTCCAAGTGAGGTCTCACCAGTGTTCTGTACAATGGCATGAGCACTTCCCTCTTTCTACTGCTAATACCTCTCCCTTAACAAGCAAGCATTATGCTAGCATTTCCTGCTGCTCTATTACGTTGTCTGCCTACCTTTAAGTCATCAGAAATAATCACCCCTAAATCCCTTTCCTCATATGTTGAGATTAGAACTCTATCAAATATTCTGTACTCTGCCCTTGGAGTTTTACGTCCAAGATGCATTATCTTGCACTTATCCACATTAAATGTCAGTTGCCACAATTCCGACCATTTTTCTGGTTTACCTAAATCCTTTGCCATTTGGCTTATCCCTCCTGGAACATCAACCCTGTTACATATATTAGTATCATCAGCAAAAAGACATACCTTACCATCAAGACCTTCTGTAATATCACTAATAAAAATATCAAAGAGAATGGGTCCAAGTACAGAGTCCTTAGGTACCCCACTGGTGACAAGCCCAAGCTTCGAATATACTCCATTGACTACAACCCTCTGCTGCCTGTCACTCAGCCACTGCCTTACCCATTCAACAATATTGGAATCCAAACTTAAAGATTGCAGTTTATTGATAAGCCTCCTATGTGCAACAGTGTCAAAAGCCTTACTGAAATCTAGGTAAGCAATGTCTACTGCACCACCCTGATCTATAATTTTAGTTACCCAATCAAAAAAGATTAGTTTGGCATGATCTCCCTGAAGTAAACCCATGTTGTCTCTGATCTTGAAATCCATGTGTTTTTAGATGTTCAACAATCCTATCCTTTAACATGGAGAGGGTGGAGACACTGAATGTTGTGATGCACACTATACAGGACTGCCCCAGGAAAAACATTTAACAGCCATCTGCGGAGTGGCCAGTGAAGTTATTACTAGACTGTAATGTAAACACTGGATTTTCTCTGAAAAGACAGTGTTTACTGCAAAAAGCCTGAAGGTAATGATTCTACTCACCAGAACAAATTCAATAAGCTGAAGTTGTTCTGGTGACTACAATGTCCCTTTAACGCTGCCTGTAACATGCACCTTTGTTAAGCGCAGGCAACATTAAGAGTCCCTGTCACGCTCACCTCACTCAGTCAGCTTCATGCCATCTCCGGCAAACTTCAGTACATCTTAAACCTGGCTGTGCTGCGCACAACAGTACATCTTGGGAGCAGGGCAGTGTGGTTAACGAGTAAGCCAGCCTGGCGGAGAAGCTGCATCCAGGGACTTAACTAGGAATCACAGGGCCCCGGTGAAAGAATCAAAGAAATATAGTAAATAGTAGAATCTAAATTACAGCAATCCACAATGCATTTCACCTAGAGGCTTTTTCAAGTCATTATAGGGCTTTCACTTCACAACAGCTGAAGTGCAGAAGGCTTCCTACAACTAAATTACTGACTAAAACTTATATAATCACTTTTCCTGCTTTCTTGTCCTTCTTGCTATATTTTGTTTAAAGGAACACTAGAGGGTCAGGAACACAAACATGTATTCCTGATCCTATAGTGTTAAATAAAAAACATCTACCCCCCTGGCCTCCCGTTCCCCCATTAAATATAGCAAAATATTACCTTTATTCCAGTCTGCTGCTGACTCTGTCCCTAATCTGCCTGCTTGGCTGACATCATCAGAAGTGATTCGCTGAGCTATGCTTCCCTATAGGATTGGCTGAGACTATCAAGGAGGCAGATTAAGGGCAGAGCCAGCACAATTCAAACACAGCCCTGGCCAATCAGCATCTCCTCATAGAGATGCATTGAATCAATGCATCTCTATGAGGAAAGTTCACTATCTGCATGCTGAGGGTGGAGCTACAGAATAGCAGTTCTGCACAGTGTGCAGCACTGACCCTGGAAGTACCTCTAGTAGCCATCTTAGGAGTGACCAGTGGAGTTATCACTAGCCTGTAATGTAAACACTGCATTTTCGCTGAAAAAACAGTGTTTAGTGTAAAAAGCCTAAAGGGAATAATTATTATCACCAGAACAAATACAATAAGCTGTAGTTGTTCTGATGACTATAGTATCCCTTTAATTCTCCAACTTCATCCTGTATTTCGACTTGCCATTGAGACAATCTGTTCAAAAGATTTTTCAGGAGACACAAGACAGCTGCATATAGCATTAAGTGCTCTAATTCCAAGCAAGACAATGGTGAATGGGCTCTGTTCACAGGGGAAGGGAAGGTTGTAGATTTCTTATAATTAACCTTTAATGCTGCAGAGGTTTATGGGCTAAGTAGTTTTTCCCCATGTGCAGTTCCACACATCAATTAGGATCCCTATAAACTCGTTTATACAGTATGTCATTGTTATACAGTATGTAAGTTAAGTAGTTTTGAATGAGACAGGTGTCATTGTTTACATGTAAGTAGCTTCAGGTGAGGTAGTAAATAATGTTCATATGTAAGTACCCTTGAATCCAATGTGTATGTTAGGTACAGGTAGTTATGCCAAGTGGGTATATATATATATATTTTTATTAACCTCATATGTGCTGCTAGAAGGGGCTTTAAGGGATGAAGCCACAGATGGTCTTAACAGTTGGTGGAGGGGTCAGGAGAAGTGTTTAGTTTTTATTTTACATCAAGCAGCTGCTTCTTAAAGAAAGATCATTAGTATAGTGTACCGCCAGGCTACTTAAAGGACCACTATAGTGCCAGGAAAACATAGTCGTTTTCCTGGCACTATAGTGCCCTGAGGGTGCCCCCACTCTCAGAGATCCCCACCCGCCGGGCTCTGGGGGAAGGAAGGGGTTACACTTACTTCTTTATCCAGCACCAGGCGGGGAGCTCTCCTCAGTCTCTCCTCCCTCTTCTCCTCCTCTTCGGCTGAATGCGCATGCGCGGCAGGAGCCGCGTGCGCATTCAGCCAGTCCATAGGAAAGCATTCACAATGCTTTCCTATGGATGCTGGCATCTTCTCACTGTGATTTTCACAGTGAGTAGCACGCAAGCGCCTCTAGCGGCTGTCAAGAGACAGCCAATGGAGGCTGGATTAACCCATTTATAAACATAGCAATGTCTCTGAAACTGCTATGTTTATAAAAAAAAGGGTTAACCCTAGCTGGACCTGGCACCCAGACCACTTCATTAAGCTGAAGTGGTCTAGGTGCCTATAGTGGTCCTTTAATGGAAGGTGGTTGCTGGGGAACAGAACATTGCTGCACACCCCTCTATTAGGTAGGTAGCATTGAATACCTGTGCATTTCCAGCTCTGCTTTCACTGAGATCAAAGACAACCCGCACACTGTTCATGGGTAAAGAGGAGGAGACATAACAGAAAGGCAATGATATATCACCTCTGTATTAGTGTAGAGGTCGTCAACCCAGCACTGATTAACCATCTTAATTAAAAAAAAATTCCTCTGCAGAAAATGGAAATAAAGTATATTTGCAGAAATACATGAACTTTTTTTTATCTCTTTTATCATTTTAACTTTAGTGTTTTTGAATGTTTTGTAAGTCATTATCTATATAATACTTTAAAAACAATAAAATAAAAGTCAGTTCCAGCCTGGAATGTCCCTTGAAGGAGGAGTTATAAATGGCTTTGTCACCCAATTTCCCCATAAAAATTAAATCTCTATGAAATGTGCATAAAGACTGTGTTGGAATCTCACTGAAATTCCAATGCAGTCAAAATATAGGGTGTACTTTGTCTTACAAGAAATGCCTAACTTGGCTATACTTGACAAAAGGTAGAGCTACCGCCATCAAATTCTGTCATTTGTGATGGCTTTCGTAAAAAAGCTCATTGCAAGACAATCTCTATAGAGTCTCCTGTTGTCTTGCTGTGTCAAGCCTTGGATGAAGGGATAGTGCCATGTTTTGTCAAAGGCACAAATAAAACTCTGTGTGTCAAAAGTAATACAGTATTTGTGCGCAGTGCCTGCTTTCGTAGCTGAATGACGCCATGATGACCCAGGTACAGTGACAGAATCCCACATTTGCAACATATGCAAAGACACCAGACATTGACAGAGCCGCATTAATAAATATAATACTTTATAATACATGAATAAAAATCATTTTTAAAAATCCTCGAGTCTACTTTAGTTGAACTAATTCTCTATAACTTTTTAATGTCTGGCTAGTAGCAGAGGACTTGAAATTTTAAGCCCTGAATTCAATATAATCCTTTAAAAATAATGGAAAAATATAAGCCGGCAGTGTCCCTTTAAGGAGGAGTGTAGTTTACACATGTAGAACAGTAGTAGAGCTTGTGACCTCTGAGATGCAGGAAAGATTCCTGTTGTTGCTACAAAAGCACTGTATGCAGCAGTAATGATGTCTGCTGGAAATCCTGGGCAGTGTATCATTGCATATTGACATCAACGTCAGTCACATAGTAACCAGCCGTCCTTGGAAGCTCACTGAGAGGCTGCCTGCTGCCAAATGACAGTCAAATCTGATCCTGTCAGCTCCAGCTGCAGATCAGTTAATCCCTCTCCGTCTCCCGCCCGTGCCCTCCAGCCCAACGCTGACATACTGCGACACTAGGGCATCAATGTGACTGCACGTTACAACGCAAAACAATGCATTACTGTATGCATGGCATGCAAATGGTTAAACGAGTTCTGCTCTGGGACAGCTTTATGCCACCCATATGAAATTATGTGATCAGATAAGCTAGTCCAGCTGGTTTCTGCAATGCATTTCGTGCCTTAATTATCAGTTTGGTCTTTACTAAGACACAATGTGTGCATACATTCAAGATATATTAAGTTAAAGAAGCACTAACACGTTTTTTCGTTTTGTTTTAATGCTCCGATCCTGCAGCAGTTTACGGAATAACTAACTTGTTCTCACCAGCAGTTCCATTCATCACACAGAATGTGCGCAATTGCTGTGTATACTGACAGCAGTCATAATGTAGCTGCTATCAGTATTCACACAGCGCAGTTCACAGGTTTGTAAACCGTTTGCGCCGTGATCAGCAGTGGCCGCGGCTCAGCCCTCTCTCAGAGAGCGATACGTCCAAGTAGGGTGTCAATATTAGTATTAAAGACGTCTGTCAACAACTAATAGCCAATAACACCCTAATTTGTCAAATTACTTGAAAATGGTTAGACAAAAATCTTAGTGACTGTACCGTAGCTTCCTTGCTGCATAATTAGCGCTTTCTTTGTCAATGCATGGTTCAGGGAATAATCTCCCGTTTAAATTCTGCAACACATAATACCGATACTGGATGATATTTCTTTTTTTTTTCTTGAAACTATCTCTAAATAACTTTACTTTAACCAGTCTTTGCAATTTCACTTGTCCATACTCCACAATTCCCTGTTTTGCAAATGAACCCCCAATGACAGTACAGGTCTGCGGTCAGATAGTTTTTAGATAATGTAACTCTCAGGAGCGGAATGTCTACATCAAAAGCTCCCAGTAGGTAATTTATCCTCTAATCACACACTAGGCTGGTTTCCTTAGGTGAAGGTGACTTTGATTTTGTGAATGTCATAAGGAACTCATGTAGTAAACGAGTCACGTGATAGCAGGTCACCCATCTAGGGTTTCACCGTGGGATTTCCATTTATGGTCTGGTTTGTAATGAGGAAGTGAGATCTTTGGAGATAGCCCCTCCTTTGAGTTTGCAACTATCAGTTTCTAACATGGAAACCAAAGTCTTGATCCTACCAGTGTACGGCTACTGACCTCTGCTGGTTGTAGTTAATAATGACAACTCACTGTTAACCCTTTTACTACTGAGCAAGTTTTGTATGAAATTTTTTTACTATTGGTATTTATTGCACCAAACTGCTTTGCAGCACTTTATAATTTCAATTTGGTGATGTAACAACAGGAAATAAGTGATCAACTATTACACATGTTAACAGAAACTAGAGGTTATTGAGGACCCTACTCCACCGACATGGGCTGCAAAGAATATGAGCCCGTAAATGGAGAGTATAAAGGCAATTTGTGAGTCTACCCTGTTTACATTTCAGAAATTTTGGTTTGTAGAAAAGTTTTTGGGTATACATATATATATGCTTTAGTGTTTATATTATCATTACATTATCTTTTCCCCCCCAATATTTCAGGCACGTTTGACATACTAGTATGCGACAGTTCGTCGTGAAATACGGAACTTGACTCACTCCTGAGCGATCGAAAAGGCATCCACGTGGAAAGAGGACACGTCCAAGATCCGTTGGAATGAGACGAGACACAGTAGAAAGGTACATTTTGCCGTTAATTGTCGTAAGGACAGAAATTCGTTAGGTGGCCAGCCTCTCAAGAACCGAAGTACTACATCCACATCCCACAGTTGTTGATATTTGGGAGCTGGAGGACGTCTAAGTCTGATGCCTCGTAGTAGTCGACAGATCAGGGGGTCTTAACCGACCGCCCTCCCTTGAACTGGTACGTGGGCTGCCGATAGAGTGGACTTGATGACGTCGATGATCCGGTACGACTTTACGAAGTTCATGATCGCGGCAATAGGTGCTTTAAAGTCATCAAGGTCGCCAGGCCGTTTGGCTCGGCCATACGGGTGTCAGAAGGAGAATTTGCACCCCTCGTCTCTGAATTTGGTGGAGGACTCTCGCAATCATTGTGAATGGAGGAAAGGTATAAGCACCTTGACTTGGCCAGTGTTGGATGAAGGTGTCCACCACCATGCAATCTGGGTCCGGGAGCCACATGTAAAACTCTGGTAATTCAGGAGTGTGAATATTCGTCGCTGGCATCTCTCCAGTGGCGGGAGTACCAATCCGCTGTAAGGTTCGACTCCCCTGGTCAGGGCCGTCTTTAATATTGATTGGACCCTGGGCAAGAATTTACTTGGGCCCACTGGATCCCACCTTCCCACACCCTAGCATGCAATCACGCCCTCCACCACAAAACACACACATACCCCTGAGCTCATGACTGTTGCATGGATCTTCTCTCTGACGGGTTAAGATTCCAGTGCATGCGTGTATACATGCAAGAGTAAATGTGCACGCCAGTGAAGCTTCCTCTTCTTTCATCAAACGATTTTGTCCTACATTAAAGGACCACTATAGGCACCCAGATCACTTCAGCTCAATGAAGTGGTCTGGGAGCCAGGTCCCTCTAGGGTTAGCCCTGCAGCTGTATACAAAGCAGTTTCAGAGAAATTGATGTTTTTCACTGAGGGCTAATACAGCCTCTAGTAGCCCACATGAAAGGATTGGTAGGTTCAAGAAAAAAGATAATACAAATACAGAAAGGACAACTATAAAAAGGTAATAAAAAATATATAAAATATATATATATGTGTATATATAGTTACAACAAGAGGCTCAAAAATGGGTATAAAAATAAAATAGGGGGGGGCGGGGCCTGACCGCAGCATCGAGCAGACGCTAATCACCACAGCTCCTGCAACCATTGCCAGAAAAAACGCCACAAAGCCGCTGAAACAGCTTTTAAAAGCCAAACAAAGGTCACCAGATGACGGGGGCTGCCAGGGTGGACACAACGATACCCAACAAGTGACTAACTACCCGGTACGTGCCTGACACACTGGCGAGGCCTACCAGAAGAGCAGGTACAGGAGAGACGGACGCTCCCCCGCAGCTTAGAATGCCTGGAAACTTAACACAGAGCCCGCGTTCCCCCCCCCCTGGACTGGTGGGGGTCATCCCGGTCCACACAAGCAAGCGTACAAGCACTCACCAGAATACACGACCGCGAAACACAGAGGCCACAAGTGGAGCAGGCAAGATGGCGCCCAACCCACAGACCTCAGCTCTGCACATAATTGAGAGGGAAACTAAACGCCGATACAACCGCATCTTCGGTGCCCTCTGGGAGAAGCTGGTGGCCCTGATGCAGTCCCCCCAAAAGGGATTCCCACCTGGCAACATGAGGCAGGGTCCACAGCATGGAAGCACAAGGGGAGAAAGGGCGCACCCCCGGAACCCCACCCGCAAGAAGGGTAACCCAGTAACCTGGAACTGCACAAAGGCCACGCACAGCCCGCACAAAACGACTGAAACACAAGAGACACTCAAGGCACAGCTCCAAAGGCGGCCTTACAGATGTGCAGAGACCCGACCTAAACTCCAGAGGGGCCCAGACTGGACGAGAGGACAGCAGAAGGAAAAGCATAAAATGGCTGCCATGAAACTTCCATACCAGGAAGGCAATGACAGTCGACCACACCAAAAAATATGCAACACAGCCAAGACCCTGCGCTGCCTGCAAGGTGAACCTGCCCTCTACAGGGGCGCCCTTACTCACCACACGACCTGAATACAGAACACGGGGCAGACCACGATCCGATAGGGTCGCTGCCCGGCGTACGAAACCGGCACAGAGCCCATCCACAACCAACGAGGGAGGGGACCCCGCAACGCTCCGGGCCCACACGCCAATCCTTCAGAGCTGGTGTCGGCTGACCAAGGCGGACTGACCCAGAGACAATCTGCGTCCCTGCAGGCCCTACAGCAGAGAAACTGCAAGATCCCACATCGCAGTATGTCTCACAGTATGGCCCTGGCAAATCGCAGCAGAGACTGTTAGTTCAGTATAGCAGCAGTGGAGCAAGCAATACAGTATATTAACCACAGGCAATTAGCTCATTAACTATAGATCATATAGCAGCTACTCATCCATTGCAAATGTATTCTCATGCATGTCAGTATTACCTTTTAAAAATGTGCAGACTCCACTAACAACTTTCAGATGTTACGTCTACTAACCCACTCAAGACCTTCAAAGCGTCTTACCCTTGTTTTTATGCAGGGCATCATTATGCTTAGAGAGTATAGAAACATGACTACACAACGTAGGCCAACTCTAGCAATGTTAACTTCTGTTTGGTGTTTCTTAGCTTAAATACACATAGTTTAACTTTTAAATGTATTATTTCATTTAGTAACTGCTAAACTGTAAACCGTGCTTATACAGTATGACAACGATAGCATAGCAGAACTAGCATTAATAACTAATCGTCAGTTTATATCATTGTATGTTAGCTAATCTTACTTCATCAATCTGTCTAATTAAGCATGCTTTAAAAAACATAAAATTGTGCGAATTCTCATGCCACTGTCAAAATGTTCTATATCTTGCAATATGCTGTTGTGGCGACTGTTAATATGATGTACCCACCTGCACAACAAAAATAAAGAATTTAAAAAAAAATAAAAAAAAAATAGAATAAAATAGAATAAAAAATAAGAAAATAATAATGAAAAATAAAAATAAATAATAAAATAAATAAAAATAAAAATAAATATAGAAATAAATATAGAAATAAAAATAAAAATAAATATAAAATAAAAATAAAATAAGAGAAATAAAGGATAATAATAGTAATAAAAATAATAATAATAAAAATAAAATAAAATTCAAATAAAAATTAAATTAAATAAAAATAAATATAAATATAAATAATAAATATAAATAATAAAAATAAAATTCAAATAAAATAAAATAAATATAAAAATACAAATAATAATGAATATAATAAAGAAAAATAAAATAAAAATAGTAATAAACATAAATAAATGGAATAAAAATAAGAGGAAAAAAATGGGTATCTAACTATAAAAAATGAGCCAACTCAAAATCTAAATTAAGGCCTTTAGGAGATAGGGTGTTAAGTTCAAAAATCCACCTGCTCTCAATTTTACAAAGTTCTTTAAAATTTTCTTCACCTCTCCAATCTTTTTTCTTGTGAGCTATAGCAATAAAACTAATAAGGGAAGGGTCACTGTTATGGTATTGTGCAAAATGTGCAGAGACACTGTGCTTGACATATCCTCTTTGTATGTTGCCCAAGTGCTCCATTATCCGAGTTTTTAAGGTCCTTGTGGTCATTCCCACGTATTGTAACCCACAAGGACACCAAAGGAGATATATTACGTTACTAGAATGGCAAGTGAGGATAGAGTTGGTCTTATATTCTTTTTGCGATATATTGGACATAAATTTAATTGGACATCACTAGCTTTTCAAAAACTTTCATTTCACCACTGATAAGGTTTTTTGGAAAGAATTGAGATCTATCTTTTAAATTAGTGTGAACGAAGGTATCATTAGTGACATCCACTTGTTCACTAATGGAAAATTTATTGAAATGTTTCTTTAAGCAAAGCTTACGAATAAATTTGTGCACATCTATAAATGTATTAAAAGGTTTATTACTACTGGTCGGTGCGAATTTTAAACCCTTATTCAGAACTTCTAGTTCTTTATCAGTTAAGGCTTTGTCTGAAAGATTGAAAATACCTAATGATGCTTTTTTCCTCTTTTTTTCATAGTCCAAACGTCTTCCTGCTCGACATCCCCTTCTCCCTGATCCCAGGGTCTCTTTGACCTCTGTGGGCGGGGAGATTCGCCCTGTACTAAAAAAGGACGTAATGGGAGTTTGGAAATTTCAGCATAGGACTTTGTTTTATTTTTTACGGCATGATTTCTGTTATGACCAACATTATCATCCATCAAGGGTCTAAACCTACTTCCGTAATTGGGAGTGTATTGCTGGTTACGTTTATAAGGTGGTATTCTATTAGGTCCACTAAATTTAGGAGAATTCTTAAAAGTAAATTTATTATGCTCCTGAAAATGGAATTTTTTGTCGTTGTATCCATTTTCGTTATTTCCATTATAATTCTTAGATTTGTACCCAGAGTTAGAGTTCCTAGAGTAATTTATTTTATATTTTGCAAATGAGCGGACTTTATTGTATGCATAGTCATGCTTATCCCTAATATATTTACTTTTTTTAACGGAGATAACCTCTTCCTCCTGTTTATCAACATTTTCTTGGACCCTTTTTAGGGAGATAGTCATTTCTTCAATATCTGACATTGGTTGGAGTTTATCCTTGATCTCATTAATTTCCCTGTCAAGTTTTACAAGATTACGTTTTCTTTGGTGGACGATGATGGACATCATGCGAGCAGAAAAAGATTCATCAGCATATACTTCTGTATATATAAGTATTGTATTACCCACTTTTTGGAGCACAGAGAGTGGTGTGTGTATTTTGGAATTTGTGTTTTCAGTGCCAATATCTCTTAATTCCTACTTTGTACTTAAGGTGTTGGGGAACACTTATTATTCCACCACTACCTCTGAGTTCACTCTATTGTGAAAGCGCCATTCACTTCTCTCTTTTTTATTGTTCATTTTACTATTCCCTAAAAAAGTGTAGGCTGCTCCAACCCATTATAAAATGGAATTATTTGAGAAAAGAAATAATTGGCAAGATAATTTGACTAGGAAATTTAATTGTGAAACTGAACCCATCAGGTTCCGTGAATATGATTTTGATTATACTTGTGATTCATTACAAAAATTATTGATCAAAGAGACAAAAATTAAATGGGAGATTTTCACCATGGAAAAATATCTGGCAGAAAACATCACCCCTAGGGGATTAAGGTTTTTCAAAAAACCTACCTTTGACCAGGACGATGATGGATTCATGGAAATATGGAATTCCGCTTTGGAATCTTTTTCTGCTCGCATGATGTCCATCATCGTCCACCAAAGAAAATGTAATCTTGTAAAACTTGACAGGGAAATTAATGAGATCAAGGATAAACTCCAACCTATGTCAGATATTGAAGAAATGACTATCTCCCTAAAAAGGGTCCAAGAAAATGTTGATAAACAGGAGGAAGAGGTTATCTCCGTTAAAAAAAGTAAATATATTAGGGATAAGCATGACTATGCATACGATAAAGTCCGCTCATTTGCAAAATATAAAAGAAATTACTCTAGGAACTCTAACTCTGGGTACAAATCTAAGAATTATAATGGAAATAACAAAAATGGATACAACGACAAAAAATTCCATTTTCAGGAGCATAATAAATTTACTTTTAAGAATTCTCCTAAACTTAGTGGACCTAATAACCACCTTATAAACGTAACCAGCAATACACTCCCAATTACGGAAGTAGGTTTAGACCCTTGATGGATGATAATGTTGGTCATAACAGAAATCATGCCGTAAAAAATAAAACAAAGTTCTGTGCTGAAATTTCCAAACTCCCATTACGTCCTTTTTTAGTACAGGGCGAATCTCCCCGCCCACAGAGGTCAAAGAGACCCTGGGATCAGGGAGAAGGGGATGTCGAGCAGGAAGACGTTTGGACTATGAAAAAAAGAGGAAAAAAGCATCATTAGGTATTTTCAATCTTTCAGACAAAGCCTTAACTGATAAAGAACTAGAAGTTCTGAATAAGGGTTTAAAATTCGCACCGACCAGTAGTAATAAACCTTTTAATACATTTATAGATGTGCACAAATTTATTCGTAAGCTTTGCTTAAAGAAACATTTCAATAAATTTTCCATTAGTGAACAAGTGGATGTCACTAATGATACCTTCGTTCACACTAATTTAAAAGATAGATCTCAATTCTTTCCAAAAAACCTTATCAGTGGTGAAATGAAAGTTTTTGAAAAGCTAGTGATGAAAGATGTGAGACAAATAACTAAAAAGAAAAAAGGCAATTTTAATTATTCTCAAATTAAAGCCCTTAAGAATCTCCAACAAGATCATAATATCGTTATTAAGCCAGCCGATAAAGGTGGAGGTATCGTCGTGCTAAATGTTGCGGATTATATGACAGAAGTATACAGACAGCTGAACGATACCTCCACCTACGTAAAATTAAAGGCTGATCCTACATCAGAAATAAGGAAAAAATATACATCACTATTAAGTAGGGGCATGGAAGATGGCATTCTCAACAAGCATGAGTACAAATATTTAAACATAGCTGTGTGTCGTATACCGGTTTTCCATATACTCCCAAAAATTCATAAGGATATCAAAAATCCCCCCGGTAGGCCCATAGTATCCGGTATTGGTTATATACTTAGTGGGTTATCTGAGTATATAGATAGATTACTCCAACCATTGGTGATTTCACAACCCACGTACCTTAGAGATTCTACTCAGTTAATAAATATCCTACAGAACATTCAGTGGGAGGAGGACTACCATCTAGTCACATGCGACGTGTCCAGCCTCTATACTATCATCTCACATGAGCTTGGTTGTGACGCTGTCCAACACTTCTTGACACTGAGTAATAAGTTTGTTGAGAACCAGATTCAGTTCATTATAAATAGTATTCACCTTATACTCACCAATAATTTTTTTTGGTTTGACGGTTTATTTTTTCTGCAGTTAGTCGGTTCTGCGATGGGGACCAGATTCGCTCCCAGTTATGCTAACTTATTTATGTCACGTTGGGAGGAAACTTTTCTCCCAGGGCTTGACGACACG